TCTGTGTGGGAACTGCTTGTTCCTTATTTCTTCTTTGAGGTGCAAATCTAGAACGGAGTTACTGTATCATTTCCATGCCATCTCTACACCTGCTGCAGCATCCCACGCTCTGATAAGAAATGCATGAGGATGCTAGCTTCTCAGTAACCGTTCCTTTGGATGAATCTTCAATGGGACCAAGTGAGTAGTGCTTTTGCCTTACCTGGCAATGATCTCACTTTTAGACAACTTTTTCATTTGGTACTTTGTGTGTGTGTGTGTGGAGGTCAAAGGACAACTTGCAGAGAGGGACCAGTTCTTTCCTTCTACTATGTGGAGTCCAGGGATTGAACTCAAGCCATCAGTCTTGGGAACAAGTGCCTTTACTGGTTGTGTGATCTTGCTGGCCCCTACTATTAAAAAAAAATCCAAAAACCAAAAGCCAGTTGTTTTTGTTTTGTTTTGTTTGTTTTGTTTTTGTGGCACACTGGTTTAGGTTTTTTTTTTCAACTTGGCACAAAACTAGACATCTGTAGACAAATCTGTTCAAGGAGAATCTCAGCTGAGGAATGGCCTCCATTGGATTGGTCAGAAGGCAAGTGTATTGGGCTTTTTCTTCACTGAAGAGATGATGTGGGTGAAGTCAGGTCCTGGTGGGCAGTGTCATTCTTGGGTTGGTGGTTCTGAACTTTATAGAAAATGCAGGCTGACAGAGCCATGGAGAGAAAGCCAGTAAGCAGCATTCTTCATAGTGTCTACTTCAGTTCCTGCCTCCAGGTTCCTTCTTGGGTTTTGCCCCAAATTCCCTTCATGATTGACTACAAGCTGTAAGGTGAAATAAACCATTCCTCCCAAGTTGCTTTTGGCCATGGTCTTTATCACAGTAATAGAAAGCAAATGAATGCAGATGGAAATCTCACTCAGTGACTCAGGCTGGTCTGGGACTCACTACGTAGCCCAGACAAGCCCCAAAGCCATAGCAATTCTGCTTCAGCCTCCTTAATGTTAGGATTACAGATGTAAGCTACCAGGTCTGGTTAGAGGTCCCACTTTTGACAGCACATGCATCTTACAAAGATTTTTGTAGCTTTGCCTTTGATTGCAGATGATTCAGGTCATAACAGCCGAGGGTAGATTGGTTAGTCCTGATTTTGTTTGTCTGTGCCTTGTGTTATTGGAGGTTCTTGTGAATAGGCCCACTCCTTATCAGTCTGTCCTGCCTGGAGGAGGTGTTCTGAGGCAGAGCTGCTAGCAATGTGATATCACCAGGTATGCAAGAGCCGACTACTTTTCAAGTTTGGGTTTCCTCTCACTGACAGCTGCAAAATAGCATCAGACATGTAGGGTGGAATACATTGTTTGCAAACTGATTCTTATATATTATATATTATATATTTTAAAAGTTTTCTTAACGTCTTTGACTGAATTTCCTAAATGGGAATCCTTTACCCTCACTTTTATAGACTGTGAGTCTAGCTTTTTCGATTCTTTAGGGGTTCTTCTCCCCTTCCCGAGGAAGCTCTCAGGGAGTAACTCTTATTGACAGTGGTCCTCCACAGGCTGGAGGGAGGCTACCTGCTCTGCTGAGAATCCAAAATCACTGGGAGAAAGAAACCAGTCAGAACATGCCTCCACCTCCTTCAAAGCTTTAGACCCGATCACTGGCCTGCTTATTAATTCTATGGGAGCTTAGATGGAGTGATAAACTCGGGTTAGACTGGGCAACCCGTGTCAAATTCCCTGTGTACACATGATGAGTAACCCAGGCTTGGTCTTGTTTCACAAGTGTCTTTGGAACCAGTGACTCTCGTATTTACCACTGTCATGACTCTTTTCTCCTACACACATTCTCCAGACAGGTCCCTACCTGACGGCGTGGATAAAAAAGAGATACCAGGGAGGGACTCCAGAGCAGTGCTGTCTTCTTGTTCAGCCACTCCCTAGGAACTTGTCCTGACTTGGTGTGGAGCCATCTACTTACAACCACGATGCTTAGCAATGAGGTGCCCAGACCTTGGGATTCCTGTTAAGTAGGCTGTTCTTTTACAATTGATTAAAATGGTTGATTCTTAATTGAAAATTATTGTTTCCTGTTTTGGAAAAAAAAGAAAAAGATAAATCCTTCCTTACCTCAGTGCCTAGCATGGTGTATATTCACATACACACTTTAAGGAAAAAAAAAAACCCAAATAGGTGATGTGCTGTATACAGTTATAGTAAGTGCTTTTATCACGTATAATTAATATCATAGAAAATATCTGTATAAATTTAGTTTTTTTTCCTTTGAGATAGGGACAAAAAGGATTGGAAACCATGAAGCCAACCCAAACTAAGTCTGTTCTCGACAAGGCTAGAGACAGGGAGCTGGCCTGGGACACGCCATATGACTAAGGAAGGGTAGGGTAAAGGGCGAGTAGGAGAACGTTGCATTGGCTGGGCTAGAACTCACTGTGAAGCCCAGGATCCCTTTGAACCCACAGGACTAGTGCTGCCTTAGCCCCTCAAGTCCAAGGATGACAGGCAGGAACACCATTGACAGTTGTGTGCTCAAATGAAGTTCTGTATCTCAGCTGAACCTGAGAACCCGGCTGACAATCTAGTGTTCACTAACCCTGGGCTGTGACCCCCTAGCCACACTCTCCATTCCTATGTGTGCCCACTGCAGAGTCTGTGGCACCTCACCAGGTGCCTGTAGAGGTACAGGCCAGGCTTCTGGCAAAGGGATGCAGGAAAATGAAAAGCCCCGGAGGTCCCTGGCTCGGTGAGCAGCATGGTTTTGGTGGAAGTGCTATGACTGTTGTCTGCTTTGGCAACTGTTGTTTCTTTTGAGGATGCCCAATAACTTGTGGCCCAGGTGAAGGGGATTACATTGCTGGAAGCTTCCTTCTTTTATTCCCACCTGTACTAGACAGGAATTTCATTTTTATTTTGGGGTATGAGGTACTTTGTTGTCCCAAGTAATAGACCTTTCTCTGTCTGTCTGCCTGTCTGCCTGTCTGTCTCTCTCTTTCTTTGATACATTTCTCTGTAGAAAGATTTCTGAACATCTTTTGGCATTTACAGAGGTTAATTCTCCCGACTAATTCCCGCTCATCTGAACTGAACTTCTAGACCTTTCCATGGTTTACTCTAACTTCTCCTGAGCTTCTGGCTACTTAGATCATCTTCTGTCTCCAAAGTCTATCCCAGATCTCCTGACTCCTCACATCGAAAATGTGAGGCTGTTGTCTTTAGCTGAAAATATAGATGTATTCTTTCACCATTTGATCCAAGACTTTGACAGATAATAGTAGGAAGGGTGGTGAGGTACCAAGGTTAGCCAGGACTGGGTCATGTGTCCATCCCTGACAGAGTCCTGTGACTCATTAGCCCTGGAGTGGTGCTTGACAAAAAGCAGTGATTGACATGCCCCTGAATTAGCTGTCCACTCCAAGTGCATGTGTCTGTGTTTGGATAATGGTTCCTTACAGGTGTCATGGGATTACCTTTTTATTCAGTTTCTCTCTCACCTTCTACTGAGGTTCACAGGTGCCCATTTTATTGGGTCAAAAGCAGAACAGAGTTATAATTGATATTCTAGACCATGCTTCTTAAATGGTAGTGTATATATGAGTCAACATGTTACCATGCTGATTCTCACTTGGTAGGACTAGGTCGAGACCTAGAATTTTAACATTTTTTATATACTTGTATTAACAAAATACCATGGCTGAGGGGCTTAAATAACAGGAATTTACCTTCCTCTCAGTGCAGTGGGGAGTTCAAGTTCAAGGCCAGCTTCTGGTAAGGACAGTCTTTTGGGCTGCAGATGGCCCCTCTCTGGCCATGTCTTCATATAGCCTTCTGTGTAGGCATAAAGATGGCAGGTGTAGCAGTACCTCTTCCTTGCCTTACAAGACACAAGTTCCCTTGGAGTCACCATCCCTGTTCTCATTTAACATTAATTTATTGCAAAGGCCTTTTCTCTATAGATAGTCACACTGGGTGTCAAGGCTGTGAGAGGTAGATTTTATTATTTATTTATTTATTTATTTATTTATTTTTGAGTAGTCCACACTTTCCAACTCATTAATGAGCCTAAGTTTAATGGAGTCCCAGGAGTTAGGAATGCAAGAAATGTGCTGGGAACACAAAGGACTAGCCTAAGAGAAATGATGCACACCAGCAGATAGGTGCTTTTCCAGTCTCAGTAACTGGCCCACTGCTTAATTTACATATGTATATTTTCTGTGGTGTCAGGGCCAGGTGGAGACAGATTAGGACTTTTCTCTCTCCCTAGTTTTGGCTGTTTTCTCTTAACACAGGCAAGTGCTTGGACCCATAGCTAATCTTTATGGTGGACACTCCTGCAGTACTAGTGTATGAACTAGCAAATATGAGTCTTTTCTATTACACACAGTAAAACTCATGTTCAGCACAAGGAATTAAAATCTTTTTTTTCTCCCCCACCTTGTAAGACTTTTATGTAAATGTTTTAATCCTCCCCATCCATTAAAACCTTTGCTTACACAAAGTCCCACTCCTCTATCCTAGGAATTTGATGGTTTGGTGCAGTGATTTCTCTGTGCCAATTCTTACTAGTCAGTTTTATAAGACCCTAGCCAATGGGGAGAGACACAGCCATCACCTCAGTATAAACAATACATTTCCTGTCTCCGTGTGGCAGTTCTCTCTGAGCATGCCTTCTTGATAATGAGTAATGTTTGCCGCATCCAGACACTTCAGTTGGAATGGTGGTTTCTTTCTTTGGGACCCCTAACTCATTTCTGACATTAGGAGGACACAGAGCAGCAAGGCAAGACACAACAGGAACCCAGAACCCGGCTCTCTGGGCTCAGAAGGACCGACTATTCTCTGGGGGATTTGCTGTGGTTTCGATCTTTGGGGAACATTAAGGAAATTGGTGGAGATGCACCGCGGCTTCTGTAGCAACCAGCTCTCCTCTACTTCCTGTGCAGCGCCAGCACTTCCTCAGGAGCTCGAGCTCTCAGCAGCGGGCTGGCTCCTGCTCCACAGCAACCATGGGCGACCAGAATGCGGTGATCAAAACTGCAGACATGTGGAAAGAGATACAACAGGACTCGGTGGAGTGCGCTACTCAGCCGCTGGCAAAATACAACATAGAAAAGAATATTGCGGTCCATATCAAGAAGGAGTTTGACAAGAAGTACAACCCCACCTGGCCGAACTGGGGCCGAACTAAGGTAGTTATGTGACACATGAAACCAAACACTTTATCTACTTCTACCTGGGTCAGGCGGCCATTCTTCTGTTCAAATCTGGTTAAAAGCATGGACTGTGCCAAACACCCAGTGATCCATCCAAAAACAAGGACAGCATCCTAACTTCCAAATATCAGAGACTGACTCTTCAGTCTTGCTAAGGTAGCACCTCGTTTGAATCTGTTGTGAATTGTACTGGGCATCATCCTCTGTACAAGTTTGTGATTATAAAATAATTATAACAGCTTACATCTGTATTTATTTTCTTGTCCATACTTCTGTACCCCGTTGTACCCCATTTTTTCTCTCTTAGGCCATTCCTTTAACATAAATCTGTTAGAGATGTGGAAGAGAGAGAGAGAGAGAGAGAGAGAGAGAGAGAGAGAGAGAGAGAGAGAGAAATTTGTGTCTCTGATTTAGCAATAAGTAGCAGTTTGTCATTTTCTGATGGGTTCCAGGGTTATTTTCGCACAGCTTTCCTGGAATTTTGAGAAGAAAACGTCTTGTAAATGGTTCTCTAAACTTCGCTTACAGCCTCCACTTTGCTCTAGGGAAGCCAGCTGGTGACAGAAGAAGACTGGTGCCAATTTGGCCTCTCTGTGGTATGTTTTATACCTAGAGGGCATCATAGGCTGTAGGGGCTGTTGATATCCTGGCATTATACTGACCCCGCTTCCTGACAACTGGCAGGGTATTTATGGCCGGCATTCAGGCAGATACGTAGATAGCTCAGAAAGCCCTGTGTTGCAAGGCTATCTCATGCATTCTGTGGCTTCCTAAGGACTCTAGGAATGTGCAAGCTTTTTCTTTTAAGCAAGTGCCTCCCGCCTGTTCTCTCTTTCCATTTCTGCTCCCTGCCAACACCAACCCCTCCCCTCACTCCCTTTCCCCAGTAAACTCCACGTGGGTTTTGTTGAGTTTTGTGGTTAGTGTTTCATCATCAGAAGTTGCAGCAAACAACAGGGGCAGAAGGGACATCAAAAACCATTGCATCACACAGGGCACCATTTAATTTGCTAAACTGCAGGAGACCATTGGGATGGATTATGTTTCTCTAAATTCTCACCTCAACATCCTATGCTGTATTTGATATAAGGCCATTAGTGTGGGGCCCTGCCCCAATATAAGTTGTGTTTTTAGAAGACAAGAAGAGACAACCAGGAATACACTCACAGAGTCAAGGCCATGTGAGAACATGGCAGGATTTGCAAGCCAAGGAAAGAGGCCTCAGGAGAAGCCACGCCTGTTGACATGACTTTGATCCTGTACTTCCAGCCTCCAAAACCATGAGAAAATAATTTCTTCTGTATCCAGTCTGTGGCATCTGCAACAGCAGCCCTAGCTGATGAAAAAAGCCCTAACAGCAGTCTTTTGTGTTAGTCTGCACTCAAATGTTAATTCACTCAACCAACGTGTACTGGACTGAAATTACGCTCATACAAAGAAAGCATAGTCCTTAGCCTAGACTGGCAGTGGAGACAGACCAGGGCCATGGGGATGGGTCTGAGAGAAGAGAGAGCCTGGTGTGCCCGGGAAACTGAGCCCTGAAGCTCTGTTCTGTAGGAATGAGTAACAATGAGGACAGAAGATCCCTGGAGCCAGATGGCAGGGTTTGGAGGCTAAGGTGAAAAGTGATGGGTTTTAGATGGTGTGATGAAGCTTGCATCATACAAAGGATTTATTAGTTAAATGTGACAAAGGATTAGAGCAGAGACAGGGGATGCAGATGGGGTATAAATGGAGAATAAGGATCCAGATGGAGTATAGACATAAAGATCCAGAGAGGATATAGACAGAGTAAGGATCCAGAGTGAGTATAGACAAGAGAGTAAGGATCGGGGGAGGGGGGTATAGACAGAGAGTAAGGCACACATTTAAGAATTCAAGGGACTCCTTGTGTCCCTAGGGGAGTGAGGGTCTTGCTTGTGTTTGTGGGGTAGAATGAATAGGTACAGCATGTCACTTTGAATGGGGGTGTCTCCCTCCTCTACTGTGTGTCTGCTAAGAGCAATTTCTGAAGATTTTTTCCTGTAGATTCTCAATCACTATCTTCACTGAATACACAGACACAAATGTACGCAGTACACCCTTGAGTAAACTGGGCTGTTAGGAAACCTCTCCTTTGTGTGTTCACACTAAGTGGCTCTTACCTGACTCGTTCTATAAAGAGAAAACCTCAGTCAGCTCATGAGTCTTGTCATTCAAGCTGCACATGGAAAAGCTGTATGTAAACACAGAGGGCAGCTCCCTCCTGCTAACTTGTGTCCTAAAACCAAACCTCACATTCTACTCACCCTTTACCCTGCCCTTCCTTAGTCTTATGGTGTCTCCCAGGCCAGCTCCCTGTCTCTAGCCTTCTTGAAAACAGACCTAGGTTGGGTTGGCTTCATGGTTTTCAGTCCCTTAGTCAGACAACAACAGTCCATCAGTGTGAGCTGAAGAATTCTAGATGCTGCCCCACAGCCTGTCAAGCAAGCTTGTAACTCAGGGCTCTGAAACTGGGACCCACAAAATCTCTTTACTGAAATTTCTAAGTGAAATTTAGCATTACCTTCAGTCATGAATGTGGGCAATAATCTACTGTAGTCCCAGCAACTCCTGTGACTTCCAGGGGGTCAAACTGTGGATGATTTATAGCACTTTATAGTTGCCACCATGCCCCAGAGCATCATCTTCAGCCCACATTAGACTGTCCCTCAACAATGTTTGTTCCATTTCTATTTGTTGGAGATCCACACAGCAGTCTGTGACATAACAAAGATTAAGGACCTGAGGTCTGGACAGGAGCTTAAATTGAGCAGTTTCCCTAACAAGATTGATGGTTTCCTGCCATGATGGGAGGTCTGTCACTTTCATTCATTAATTTGTTCATGTGTTAAATGAACCTGATGAGAATGGACCGTGTCTGAGAAGAAGAATCTTCATTCTGGCCCCTAAGAGACCTGGTTGGCTCTGTATAGGGTTGGGGTTGTTCTCTATTTGTGCAATGCTTATCTTTCTTTCCCTTCCCTTCCCTTCCCTTCCTTTCCTTCCTTCTTTCCTTTCTTCCTTCCTTTCGCTTTTGCTTTCGCTCTCTCTCTCCCTCTTCCTTTTTTTTTTTTTTTTTTTTTTTCCCACATCCTAGCCACGGTTCCCCTTCCTCCTCTTCACCAAGTCCCTCCCTCTCTCGACCCCTTTCCCCAGCCCCCAATCCACTCCTCCTCCTCCTCTTTTTTTCAGGGAATGGCAAGTCTCCCATGATGTGTCAAAACATGATGCATCAAGTTGCCATAAGACTAAGCACCTCCCCATGTATTAAGGCTGGGCAAAGTGATCCAGTATGAGAACTAGGATCCCCAAAGCTGGTAAAAGAGTTGAAGACAGTCCCTGCTGCTATCATTGAGGCACACCTATCCCCACTCCTTGGGGACCCGGCAGAATGTGTCACCCCCTGGCTCTGTATGCAGGTGCAAAAGGTACCTTTAAGAGACAAGCTCTACCCACTCCTACTCTCTCGTTCCTGCTGTCTCTCTAAAGAGACTGGCAGGTCTTTACCTCTCTCTCTTTCTCTCCCCTCCCCTCTCTTCCTCCCCTCTCTCCCTTCCCTTAATCCCTCCCTCTTCTCTTCCTCTAATGAAATTTCTTTCATGCTTCCTTCCCCCCAAGGGTTCTGCCTGCATGGCGTGCTTGTCTCTCATATACCATGGGGTCCTCCAAACTCACCCCATGCCCCACATATCATAACACCTGTTCTTACTGTTAGGAGTTCCACAAGAGGGCCAAGCTACACAACTAACATATGAAGAGTGCCTAGGGCAGTCCCATGTAGGCTCCCTGGTTGTCAGTTCAGTCTCTGTGTGATTCTGTGGGCTTTCTTGTGGTTTCCTTGACCCCCACCCCTGGCTCCTACAATCTTTTCTTCCCCTCTTCTGCAAGATTCCTCAAGATCTGCCTAATGTTTGGCTGCATCTGCTTCCATCAGTTATTGGATAAAGCCTCTCTGATGATTATTGGGCTAGACACCAATCTATGAATATAGCAGAATATTATTAGGCATCTACAATGACATTTTCTTCCAGTCATGTTTGGTTCTATCCTAGGTCTGTGGGTCATCCAGCCTGTGGATCCTGCTACTCCAGGTCATATCAGGGGTTGGCTTACTCTCATGGCATGGGTTTTAGGCTAGACCAGTCATTGGTTGGCCACTCACACTCTAGGCCACTCTTACCCCAGCACATCCCATTGGCAGGACAGACTATAGGTAGAAAGTTATGTGGCTGCATTGGTTTCCTAATCCATCAGTTTGAAGTCTTTCCCAGTCACAAGAGATGACCAATTATGGTACATATACACTGTTCCTAGGAGTCTTAGCTAGGGTAAGCCTTGTGATTCCTGGGAGATTCCCTTGGGTCAGATTTTTACCTGACCTTGAAATGCCCTCATTTCCAGTAGTCTTTTTTAGTAATCTCTCCCTCCACCAACCTGATCACTCATGTTCCAACCCCTACCCACCCTCAATCCACTCATGAAATCTCTTCTATTTTTTCCTTCCCAGGGAGATCTGGGCATCTCTCATTGAACACTTCTTGTTTCCTGGCTTCTCTGGGTCTGTGGATTATGGCATAGTTATCCTTTATTTTATAGCTAGTATCCACTTATGAATGAGTGCATACCATATTTTGCTTCACTCAGAATGATTTTTTTTAGGTTTTTTTTTCCCATCCATTTGCCTTCAGATTTCATGATGTCATTGTTTTTAATGGCTGAGTAATTCTCCATTGTGTTAATGCACATTTTCTTTATTCATTCCTCTGTTGAGGGATATCTAGGTTATTTGTAGGTTCTGGCTGTTACAAATAAAGCTACTATGAACATAGCTGAGCAAGTGTCTTTGTGGTGTGATTGAGCATTCTTTGGGTATATGCCCAAGTGTGGTATAGCTGGATCTTGTGATAGACTGATATCCAGATTTCTGAGAAGTCACCATATTGATTTCCAAAATGAATGTGTAAGTTTGCACTCCCACTAGTGATGGAAGAGTGTTCCCCTTGTTCCACATTCTCTCCAGTATGAGCTGTCATTTGTGTTTTTTATCTTAGTCACTCTGCTAGGTGTAAGATGAGTTGTTTTGATTTGAATTTCCCTGGTGGCTAAGG